CGAATAATCGAGAATTTTTTTGTTGTAATAAATAAATTTTTCCATCTTAGACCCCAATTATCTTCGTAATCCAAATCTAGAATATACATAAATAAGTAATGCCAATCCCTAAAACAAGTAAGAAATTATAGTCGGGCGTGGCCGACCATATGATACCCTACACCAGTTATGAATATTAAATGTGATTTATTTTTCATAATAAAGCATTTATCTTCAATATTCCCTTGTTCCGATACATTTAAGCAATTTATGGATGAAAAACTAATTTTCTGAAAGAGGGGGCTAGGTGCAAATATGGACCAAGCCCGATAAAATTTTGTGAATATATTTATATTGACATAATATTTTATTGTGCTGAATTTCATCACGATATTTGTGTTTATAAGCTAATTTGGGACATTCAAGTAATTTTCTGAAGGGGACTTTGTATGGGAGCTAGGGTCAAGTGTGGCCCGATCTTCATGAAATTTGGCACGGTCATCAAGACTTCTATAAAACTTAGTTGTGCCGTATTTTATCGATATATCTGTATACTTAACATAATTATGAGCTCAGAAGCCCTTTTCGAGGGGTTCTGTTGTATGGGGGCTAGGTGAAATAATGGACCGATTTTAACCATTTTCAATAGGCTTCGTCCTTAGGTCAAATAAAACGTGCGTGCCAAATTTCATCCAATTATCTTGAAAATTGCGACCAGTACCTTGCGCACAAGGTTTACATGGACAGCCAGCCAGCCAGACGGACGGACGGACGGACATAGCTTAATCGACTCAGAAAACGATTCTAAGCCGATTGGTATACTTTAAGGTCTAGGACGAATATTTTTGTATGTTACAAACATCAGCACAAATCCAATATACCCTCCCCACTAAAGTGGTGTAGGGTATAAAGAGAGAATCTATAAAACCCGGAAATTAACGTACAATAACAATCTCTTCTTCATATTCTAAAGTAAAGAAACTAATGATTAACCTCCATTTTGATCCGTATTTAGAGACCAACAATTTACCTAACAACCGCCAGTATAGCTTTTGTAGACGTCGTTCTACGACAGATATACCAGCCTTCCTTCCGGATTATTAGCGTCTTTCAGTCCAATCACCAATTTGGCGAATATAAATTTCTAGCTCTATTCATTTCCAAAGCGTTTGGTAGAATTTGGTATGGTGTAGGTAATTATTTCTATTTACTATGAACTTTATCAGAGATCGCACAATATGATCTATGGGATCGCATCAAACCCATTCAAGTTTAACTCAGTGAAAAAAAAGGCTTCGTTCTTGCCTCTAATCTATTTCTTATTTTCATAAACGGCCTTTTATGTCAAACATCCAACTATATCTGCTCTTTTTGCCGATGAGAGCAACATCTGCCATTCTTATTCATTCAATTATAGGCTTTCAACGAATCGCTCAACCACGACTTGGTAAAAATCTGTGAATAGGGTCGTGTTACTAAAGTCGATTTTCCGTCCGCAAGACTCAGTCTTCTTAACACGTAGCAGATAATGTTGTTTCATCTATGTACATATGTTTATGGGTGCTGTTAATATTGAGGGTTTGGGAACTCCACGCGTGAAATATAGTGAGAAATCCACTGATCTAAACACATTTATTAAGTATCTAGATTTTTAAAAATGTTGAAAGACATGCTTCACACCATTTGATCTCCACAATATCAATGTACATTCGACCGAATTATAGCCTACTGTAGGTTAGTTGTCAAGTCTAGGTTCGATTCCCATCAGAGGCACTGATAAAGGAGAGCACAACATGTTTGGTGGAGAGCGATGGATACCAAGACTTAACTCTCTATTCTAAACAAGGTATAAAGACTAGCATGTTTTGCAATCACTGGTTGTTTGAGCAACACTTCTCAGGCTAGTCTAGAGAGGATTCTAAACAGAGATATATGCCTCGAAACAGCCGCGAGAAGAATCCGAGAATACTTGGACAGCCTAGCATCAATCAAGGCTCTTAACTTCAATCTTATTAAATCGAAATGTCTTCTCAATTGTATTCAATCATGGTCGCAACTGACACAACATCACGTAGAGTTTATATGGGTTCCAGGACATGAGGGCATCCGGGGAAATGAAATATCTAATGAATATGCAACCAAAGGGTCGTCCCTAGACTAAACCCTTGCGTAAAGGGATATTCACACTGGTGACCCTATCAAAATTGATAGATGACTGGACTTTGAGTGAGACGGAACTTAGGTGGTCAAATATCACTATTTGTAGAATATCGAGACTGCTCTAGCCCACTCTGACAACGAATAGGACTCTCTTGTCTTTTAGTAAGAACTCACCCACAGCTACTGCAAAAGCTGTTTGGACGAAGAAGAAGAAGAAGAGGAATCGGTACAACACTCTATCTTGGTAGAGCTCCATGATCTGGACTGTCTCAGAGATGCGTCACTAGTAAACATGATCGGTTTTATTAGGAACACCGGCTGGTTTTCACGGAGACCGCAAGAACCAAGTAATCAACGAAATTAGGTAGGGAAACCATTCTCTCAACATAAGGGAATGGCAATTCTAAGGGTATTACAATGGGCCACAAGGCATCTGAGTGAACTCGCCAACTAACAACAAACCCACCTAGGGAATGGATAAGTTCTCTTAAAACGAACAAATCTCTTGGTTTGGATAATATGTTCCCTATACCCTAGATTACCAATGTTATCTTAAGTAATCAATCGATTGATTTCCCTTCTAGATATATATATGAATGGAATCTGACAAGTTAATGCATATTAATGGAGGCTTTAGTCCAAAAAATGATACACTATCTACTTAAAAACCCGCTGGGTGGTAAAGATTTTTTTAGAACATTTCGAATTGTATTCAATCATTGGCACAACTGACACAACATCACGTAGAGTTTATATGGGTTCCAGGACATGAGGGCATCCGGGGAAATGAAATATCTGATGAATGCGCAGCTAATGGGTCGTCCCAAGACTTAACCCTTGCGCAAAGGGATATTCACACTGGTGACCCTATCAAAATTGATAGATGACTGGACTTTGAGTGAGACGGAACTTAGGTGGTCAAATATTACCATTTGTAGAATATCGAGACTGCTCTGGCCCACTCTGAGAACGAATAGGACTCTCTTGTCTCTTAGTAAGAACTTGATTAGGCTTCTAACTGGTATAATTACTGGACACTGTATGATTGGACATATGTCGGAACGTATGGGCTACCCACAGCTACTGCAAAAGCTGTTTGGATGAAGGGAGGAGAAGTGGAATCGGTACAACACCTTCTATGTGACTGCCCAGTCTTACAAGAGCACAGACTACTCTATCTTAGTAGAGCTCCATGATCTGGACTGTCTCAGAGATGCGTCACTAGTAAACATGATCGGTTTTATTAGGAACACCGGCTGGTTTTCACGGAGACCGCAAGAACCAAGTAATCAACGAAATTAGGTAGGGAAACCATTTTCTCAACATAAAGGAATGACAATTCTAAGGGTATCACAATGGGCCAGAAGGCATCCGAGTGAACTCGCTAACTAACAACAAACCCACCTAGGGAATGGATAAGTTCTCTTACCTCTCTTACCAATATTATCTTAAGTAATCAATCGATTGTTTACCCTTCTAGATATATATGAATGGAATCTGACAAGTTAATGCATGGAGGCTTTAGTCCAAAAAAATGATACACTATCTACTTAAAAAACTGCTGGGTGGTAAAGATTTTTTTCGAATATTTGTTGTCTGTTCATTTCCTTTTTCACCCACATAATTTGTGTCAATAACTTTTTTTGTCATTACTGTTTATTAAAAAAAAAAATAATAAAAGAAAAGTAAATCATGTCTTAAAGACATCAAGAAACAAGCATGTAAAGTAAATATTGGTAAAAGTATGATGTCTTGTAGGAAAAAACACACTGAAAATATATTACAAGTTGTTACAAGGCAAAAAAGTGTATAACTTGAAAGTAATAAAAATCATGTTAGTCAATTTTTTAATGTATGTTTTTAGGGAATTCTAGAGCAGTTCTGTGACAATGGGCTTTGGCTGTTGCCATTTATTGACTTAAAACAAACGAACGTATTGACGTTTTGATGACAAACTCATGACGTTAATTTTTTCGTTAATATTCATTCTGCGCTCATTTGTTTTAAAGGTTGGTTATAGGTTGACAATTAGTATTTCTTTTATGAGTTCTATATTTTAGATTTTTGATGTTTTACCGCCTAAAAAGAATTGTGATGTCAAAAAATTTAACACCTTTTTTTTCGTTTGGTATTTGATGACTTGTTTTTGTTGGCGGTGGTATTTGTTTAGTGTAGAGGAGTTTAGTGATGTATTGTATAGAAGTAACGGGTAATTACAGGGGATCTATTACGAATTAATTTTATAAACAAATAAAATTTAAACGTTTAATTTGTAATAATATTTAATAAAGTGGCCTCCGGTAGGTTAATGGTAAGAGTTTTATTTTGGTAGACCGGAGGTGGTGGGTTCGATTCCCACCTGTAGCACTGGTAAAGGAGTACACAACAGGCCCGATTAAGGGCCAGGTGTATTTCTTCTGATTTGATGTTTATACATCGTCCTTTCATACTAACTAACTTATAATATTTACAATAACTATGAAGATGAAGAAGTTATGAATTACAAATAACATGTGTTAGTAACCGATTACTCATATTTTACAACTCTAAAAGCAACTAACTATAACGGAAATTTGAAAAGTAAATAAATCGTTAAAGGGCAGGCGTTTAGCACTTGCCGGTAAAATGCCCATACATACGTACGTATACATATGTCCGGCCTTAACACCGGAACTTGCAAAAAAAAAAAAAACTTTTTAAATAAAAAAACTTTTGTTACTTTTTTTATTATTTTTTAAATAAACAATGTTAAATAACAGCACAAGAAAATACAAAATACTAAAATTTAGTTTTAGTCATAGGACTTGTAAAACAATTTCTTAAAGAATGACAAGTTATTTTCAAATTATACTTCATTGCAGATGGAACCACAAGCGCAGCAACAACAACAGCAACAACAAGATCAATTGCAGCAACAACAGCAAAGATATCAACAACAACAAGTGCAACAATCACCAGAAAAATATCATACACATTTATTGGATAAAATCAAAACGGAAAGTAATGGTTCAGAACATTTAAATCATACAAATGCGAATACGGTTATAGAAAAACAAACTGTAGTTGAACAACAACAGCAGCAGCAGCAACAACCACAACCACAACAATTGACCACCCAGCATCATCAACAACAACAACAGCAGCAGCAGTTACCACCCTCAACTCAACAACAGGCGCAACAGCAACAAAATCCCACCACTATTATACAATCGCAACAGTCTCAACCCATTAATGCTGTAATACAAACACAAAATAATCAATCACAACAACAACAGCAGCAACAACAACAACCTCAACAACCCCAACATCAACAACAACATCCCAGTCAGGAAGATTATGTACCCATACAAAGAACACAACAACGTAGATATATAACAACAACCGGAGAATTGTAAGTTCAAATTATTGATGTTGCTATTTCGAATAGCAGTTCCAAATCCAGTCCATTTAATATACTGATATAAAATATCATTAATCCTAATTCCCAATTAAAGAGCTCCAAGATCTCAAGATCTGTCTATAGTGATCTATACTCGAGACTACAGTCTGGTCTTTAATTCAGAATATAGTCTGCTCTATAGGTAAGAATATAGTCTGACTAGTCTATAGTCTGATCTGGAGTCTGGACTATAGTCTGGAATATAGTGGAGACTTTATTCTAATCTATAGTACAGACTATAGTCTGGTCGATATAGTCAAGCCTATAGTCTACTGTATAGTCGAGAATATAGTCTGATTAGAGTCTGTTGGAGACTTTATTCTAATCTATAGTACAGACTATAGTCTGGTCGATATAGTCAAGCCTACAGTCCAATGTATAGTCGAGATTAGAGTCTGTTGGAGACTTTATTCTAATCTATAGTACAGACTATAGTCTGGTCGATATAGTCAAGCCTATAGTCTACTGTATAGTCTAGAATATAGTCTGATTAGTTCTATAGTGGAGTCTATATTCCTATCTGGAGTCGAGACTATAGTCTTGTATATAATTGAGACTACATCCTAGTCCATAGTACATATTATAGTCTGGTCTATAGTCAAGAATATAGTCTGGTCTTTAGTCGAGTATATTATCTGGTCAGTTGTGCATATTATAGTCTAACCCCATAGTGGAGAATATAGTCAGCTTATAGTCTAGTCTATAGACGAGACTATAGCATATTCCTTAGAAGAGGATTAAGTCTAGTCAGCTGTATAGAAATTATTATAGTCTGACCTTTAGACGAAACTATAGTCTGATGTTTGGAAGAGACTATAGTCTTATCTTTAGAGGAGACTATATATAGTCTTATCTTTAGAGGAGACTATAGTCTAATCTTAAGACGAGGATATAGTCCCAGCACTTATGTAAGAGACCCTTCAGTTGAATATAGTTAAAAATTTACTTTAAAGTTTGATTTAAAAATCTAATTCATATCATTCTTTTCTTATTCTACTTAGAGTACATCGTGATTCCGACGACCCCGAAACGGTTAGTGAATATCAACGCCAGCGTCATTCGCCTGCCGAATATGTACAAATGGCACCGCGCAATGAAGAACAACAGCCACCACCAGGTACCACAGTCTATACTTATACAACCAATGAAAATGGTCAACCCATTATATGTACAACCGATCCCGCGGGTGGAACGATTAAACTCGAGTCAATAGACAAAGATCAAGTGCAAAATGAAGCCGCTCAACAGTTGCAACAACAGCAGCAACATCAACAACAATGTCCTACACCCAACGGCAACTATACGGAAACCATGGTCGTGCCCACGTCAGCATTACATCACCAAAATCCTCATAATTTATCCAGTACAGCCCATACGGCCATACCACATCCCACTCATTTGTTGCGATTCGAAGAAGATAATCGTTTTGGACAAACTCTCAACGATAATGGTAATGGTCCTGCCACATTGTACTATGAAACGGCTGTGGTAGATCCCAATGCACATCCTAATGAATCGAAAACTTTTACAGATTTGGGTAATGCTCATTATTTGAATTACTCCTCCACCTCCTCCTATCAGTTGAGTCAAAATAATACCATCTATAGTGTATCGCCGGCACCGAATCAATTGATAAGCAAAAATGATCCCAGTTTAAATATACTGCGGCAACCAGTGCAATATCAGTCAATGGCTTTGTTTGATTCTGTTAATAGTTCAGTAGCCGAGCAGAGTATTTGGCCAACGGCCGGAGTGGAATATTCCAATATGGGCTTTGTAAGTAATTTGCTTCAGCATCTAAATTTTTCAAATCCTTTAATCATCAATTCATATTCATTTTCCCCTTTTTGTTTCTTCTCTTCCTTTCCATCCATAAAATATTAAACAAATCCACTTGAAATTTGTTTTCTAAAAATAGAATTATCATCAGCAGGTGGTTGAAGAATATCCAACGGGCAATATAACCGCTAGCTCTTGGGCTCCTACTAGTTCCATAACACATTATGAAGCACCACCTCCTTTGGCGGATAAATGTGAACAATGTAATTCTCCTTTGGGTAGTAAAGCGAACGGCTACTGTCCTTCTTGTTATGGAGGCCCTATACGTCAGACTGTGCGTGTGGGTCCCCGACAAACAAAACCCAAAGCCTCAGCTGCCGCCGCCAATAATAGACGCACGGGTGTTACTTGTGCTAATTGTCAAACTAATTCCACTACTTTGTGGCGTCGTAATAATGATGGAAATCCTGTTTGCAATGCCTGTGGTCTGTACTACAAACTACACAACATGAATCGTCCGCTTTCCATGAAAAAGGACGGCATACAAAAACGTAAACGTAAACCAAAGAATAGCGGCCCACCACAGATGAGACCACCATTACCTAGTATGTTTTCATGCTTCAATCTATATCACAAAATTAAAATAAATTTTTAATTTCTATTTAACTTTATGTTTTTTAGGTTTACCTCCAGGTGGCGGTAGTTTGATGGTGCACTCGAATGGTCCATTGTATCCTTCACAAGTGCAAACTATAGGCCTTCCCCTAAATGCTCAAACACCAAATCCAGGTGATTTGCAAGACATGACTACCACAGCTCCACGTACGGTAGCTATTGGTCATCAAGATATGTCTTTGAATATGTCACGACCACACGTTACTTCGGATAGTCATTCACCGTATAGCAATCCACCTTCGCAGAGTCAGTCACCTCATCTACCAAGTACAGCGAGTTTTAAGTGAGTAGAATGCGAAAAGTTCAGCTCCAGTTCAGTTCTAGTTCAGCTATAGTTTAGTTCTAGTTCAGTTCTAGTTCAGTTCTAGTTTAGTTCTAGTTCGGTTCTAGTTCAGTTCTAGTTCAGTTCTAGTTCAGTTCTAGTTCAGTTCTAGTTCAGTTCTAGTTCAGTTCTAGTTCAGTTCTAGTTCAGTTCTAGTTCAGTTCTAGTTCAGTTCTAGTTCAGTTCTAGTTCAGTTCTAGTTCAGTTCTAGTTCAGTTCTAGTTCAGTTCTAGTTCAGTTCTAGTTCAGTTCTAGTTCAGTTCTAGTTCTAGTTCAGTTCTAGTTCAGTTCTAGTTCAGTTCTAGTTCAGTTCTAGTTCAGTTCTAGTTCAGTTCTAGTTCAGTTCTAGTTCAGTTCTAGTTCAGTTCTAGTTCAGTTCTAGTTCAGTTCTAATTCAGTTCTAGTTCAGTTCTAGTTCAGTTCTTGTTCAGTTCTTGTTCAGTTCTAGTTCGGTTCTAGTTTAATCCGGATATAACATTATTTATGTATATTAAATCAATATGTAATGAGAATAATTTTCTTACAGAGTGCCTCCAATCGAAGTGCCCCGAACAACGCAGAGCAGTGAAATACCCACGAGTGTTATAACACGCACTGGATTACCAGAACGTACATCGAATAACTGAAACCAATAATCGCCTCTTAAAAACATTATTTATGTCAAGATATTTTTTTGAAGTTAAAGGTTAAGAATTTATCAAAATTAAAAATTGAAACTTAAGTATATATACATATTTCGTTTAAAATTGTGCCAAATATTTTTTATTAAAAAATTAATGAAACTTTACCAAACAAAATGAAATGAACCAACTTGTTTGTTAAATTGAACGTATAAATTGTTTAACTTAAATTTAAATTATTATTCGAATAATTGAGAAAAGTTTTCAATAAATATTAACTGATAGATCTGAAAAATCCATACAAATGATCGCAGTAAGTGCAGTTTTCGATTGGAAATTTTATGGCAGTTATAGACTTAAATAATCGGCAAATGATGTTATTTTATGAAAATTTATTTAAAGTAATATGGCCATTTTGTAAAAAAAGTTTTAACTAATAATGTTCAATATTCTGAAATTAGCATAGTTTTATTATTTCACTTTAAATTTCTTTAACAATTCTATGCAAATTATTTTCTTTTATATAAAGACATTTTAAATATTTAAATAATATGTATATCGTAAATATATTTTTTATATTTGTAATTTTAAGTTTAATTTTTACAGCAAGAGACTACTTTAATTTTATATATTTTTTAATTATAAATAATTTTCCTTTTGTAATAATTTAATACCACAAATTATTTTAAATAATTTGTAAAATTAGTTAAAATTTTTATATTAGTAAAAAAATATTATATTGTGTAATTTTTATAGAACTCCAAAGAAAAACAATTTGTAAATTAATAAAAAAACAAAAATAACTTAAATAAAATAAATGAGTTATAAGCCAAATTAAGCACTAATGACGACATAATTTATTAATTTAGTATAAGCGTAAGTATATTATTGGAGATGTTTTTGTTGTGCTAAAGGAGATCTTTTTTATTGTTGGGTTAAATGTATTTGGAACGGTGGCTTAGAGTGGCAAAAATTTATTTAAAATTGTTTTATCAAATAAACTTCAGTTCTAGTGTAGTTTTTATTCTGTCTTAGTTCAATTCTAGTTTAGTTCTAGTTCAGTCCTAGTTCAGTTCTAGTTCAGTTCTAGTTCAGTTCTAGTTCAGTCCTAGTTCAGTTCTAGTTCAGTTCTAGTTCAGTTCTAGTTCATTTCTAGTTCAGTTCTAGTTCAGGTCTAGGTCAGTTCTAGTTCAATTCTAGTTCAGTTCTGGTTTAGTTCTAGTTCAGTTCTAGTTCAGTTCTAGTTCAGTTCTAGTTCAGTTCTAGTTCAGTTCTAGTTCAGTTCTAGTTCAGTTCTAGTTCAGTTCTAGTTCAGTTCTAGTTCAGTTCTAGTTCAGTTCTAGTTCAGTTCTAGTTCAGTCCTAGTTCAGTTCTAGTTCAGTTCTAGTTCATTTCCAGTTCAGGTCTAGGTCAGTTCTAGTTCAATTCTAGTTCAGTTCTAGTTCAGTTCTAGTTCAGTTCTAGTTCAGTTCTAGTTCAGTCCTAGTTCAGTTCTAGTTCAGTTCTAGTTCAGTTCTAGTTCAGTTCTAGTTCATTTCCAGTTCAGGTCTAGGTCAGTTCTAGTTCAATTCTAGTTCAGTTCTAGTTCAGTTTCTAGTTCAGTTCTAGTTCAGTTCTAGTTCAGTTCTAGTTCAGTCCTAGTTCAGTTCTAGTTCAGTTCTAGTTCAGTTCTAGTTCAGTCCTAGTTCAGTTCTAGTTCAGTTCTAGTTCATTTCCAGTTCAGGTCTAGGTCAGTTCTAGTTCAATTCTAGTTCAGTTCTGGTTTAGTTCTAGTTCAGTTCTAGTTCAGTTCTAGTTCAGTTCTAGTTCAGTTCTAGTTCAGTTCTAGTTTAGTTCTAGTTCGGTTCTAGTTCAGTTCTAGTTCAGTTCTAGTTCAGTTCTAGTTCAGTTCTAGTTCAGTTCTAGTTCAGTTCTAGTTCAGTTCTAGTTCAGTTCTAGTTCAGTTCTAGTTCAGTTCTAGTTCAGTTCTAGTTCAGTTCTAGTTCAGTTCTAGTTCAGTTCTAGTTCAGTTCTAGTTCAGTTCTAGTTCAGTTCTAGTTCAGTTCTAGTTCAGTTCTAGTTCAGTTCTAGTTCAGTTCTAGTTCAGTTCTAGTTCAGTTCTAGTTCAGTTCTAGTTCAGTTCTAGTTCAGTTCTAGTTCAGTTCTAGTTCAGTTCTAGTTCAGTTCTAGTTCAGTTCTAGTTCAGTTCTAGTTCAGTTCTATTTCAGTTCTAGTTCAGTTCTAGTTCAGTTCTAGTTCAGTTCTAGTTCAGTTCTAGTTCAGTTCTAGTTCAGTTCTAGTTCAGTTCTAGTTCAGTTCTAGTTCAGTTCTTCAGTTCTAGTTCAGTATAGTTCAGTCTAGTTCAGTTCTAGTTCAGTTCTAGTTCAGTTCTAGTTCAGTTCTAGTTCAGTTCTAGTTCAGTTCTAGTTCAGTTCTAGTTCAGTTCTAGTTCAGTTCTAGTTCAGTTCTAGTTCAGTTCTAGTTCAGTTCTAGTTCAGTTCTAGTTCAGTTCTAGTTCAGTTCTAGTTCAGTTCTAGTTCAGTTCTAGTTCAGTTCTAGTTCAGTTCTAGTTCAGTTCTAGTTCAGTTCTAGTTCAGTTCTAGTTCAGTTCTAGTTCAGTTCTAGTTCAGTTCTAGTTCAGTTCTAGTTCAGTTCTAGTTCAGTTCTAGTTCAGTTCTAGTTCAGTTCTAGTTCAGTTCTAGTTCAGTTCTAGTTCAGTTCTAGTCAGTTCTAGTTCAGTTCTAGTTCAGTTCTAGTTCAGTTCTAGTTCAGTCTATATTCAGTTCTAGTTCAGTTCTAGTTCAGTTCTTGTTCAGTTCTAGTTCGGTTCTAGTTCGGTTCTAGTTTAATCCGGATATAACATTATTTATGTATATTAAATCAATATGTAATGAGAATAATTTTCTTACAGAGTGCCTCCAATTGAAGTGCCCCGAACAACGCAGAGCAGTGAAATACCCACGAGTGTTATAACACGCACTGGATTACCAGAACGTACATCGAATAACTGAAACCAATAATCGCCTCTTAAAAACATTATTTATGTCAAGATATTTTTTTGAAGTTAAAGGTTAAGAATTTATCAAAATTAAAAATTGAAACTTAAGTATATATACATATTTCGTTTAAAATTGTGCCAAATATTTTTTATTAAAAAATTAATGAAACTTTACTAAACAAAATGAAATGAACCAACTTGTTTGTTAAATTGAACGTATAAATTGTTTAACTTAAATTTAAATTATTATTCGAATAATTGAGAAAGTTTTCAATAAATATTAACTGATAGATCTGAAAAATCCATACAAATGATCGCAGTGAGTGCAGTTTTCGATTGGAAATTTTATGGCAGTTATAGACTTAAATAATCGGCGAATGATGTTATTTTATGAAAATTTATTTAAAGTAATATGGCCATTTTGTAAAAAAGTTTTAACTAATAATGTTCAATATTCTGAAATTAGCATAGTTTTATTATTTCACTTTAAATTTCTTCAACAATTCTATGCAAATTATTTTCTTTTATATAAAGACATTTTAAATATTTAAATAATATGTATATCGTAAATATATTTTTTTATATTTGTAATTTTAAGTTTAATTTTTACAGCAAGAGACTACTTTAATTTTATATATTTTTTAATTATAAATAATTTTCCTTTTGTAATAATTTAATACCACAAATTATTTTAAATAATTTGTAAAATTAGTTAAAATTTTTATATTAGTAAAAAAATATTATATTGTGTAATTTTTATAGAACTCCAAAGAAAAACAATTTGTAAATTAATAAAAAAAAACAAAAATAACTTAAATAAAATAAATGAGTTATAAGCCAAATTAAGCACTAATGACGACATAATTTATTAATTTAGTATAAGCGTAAGTATATTATTGGAGATGTTTTTGTTGTGCTAAAGGAGATCTTTTTTATTGTTGGGTTAAATGTATTTGGAACAGTGGCTTAGAGTGGCAAAAATTTATTTAAAATTGTTTTAACAAATAAACTTCAGTTCTAGTGTAGTTTTTATTCTGTCTTAGAGTAGTTATAGTTCAGTTCTAGTTTAGTTCTAGTTCAGTTCTAGTTCACTTCTAGTTCAGTTCTAGTTCTAGTTCACTTCTAGTTCAGTTCTAGTTCAGTTCTAGTTCAGTTCTAGTTCAGTTCTAGTTCAGTTCTAGTTCAGTTCTAGTTCAGTTCTAGTTCAGTTCTAGTTCAGTTCTAGTTCAGTTCTAGTTCAGTTCTAGTTCAGTTCTAGTTCAGTTCTAGTTCAGTTCTAGTTCAGTTCTAGTTCAGTTCTAGTTCAGTTCTAGTTCAGTTCTAGTTCAGTTCTAGTTTAGTTCTAGTTTAGTTCTAGTTCAGTTCTAGTTCAGTTCTTGTTCAGTTCTAGTCCTAGTTCAGTTCTAGTTAAGATCTAGTTCTAGTTCAGTTCTAGTTCAGTTCTAGTTCAGTTCTAGTTCAGTTCTAGTTCAGTTCTAGTTCAGTTCTAGTTCAGTTCTAGTTCAGTTCTAGTACAGTTCTAGTTCAGTTCTAGTTCAGTTCTAGTTCAGTTCTAGTTCAGTTCTAGTTCAGTTCTAGTTCAGTTCTAGTTCAGTTCTAGTTCAGATCTAGTTCAGTTCTAGTTTAGTTCAGTTCTAGTTCAGTTCTAGTTCAGTTCTAGTTCAGTTCTAGTTCAGTTCTAGTTCAGTTCTAGTTCAGTTCTAGTTCAGTTCTAGTTCAGTTCTAGTTCAGTTCTAGTTCAGTTCTAGTTCAGTTCTAGTTTAGTTCTAGTTTAGTTCCAGTTCAGTTCTAGTTCAGTTCTAGTTCAGTTCTAGTTCAGTTCTAGTTCAGTTCTAGTTCAGTTCTAGTTCAGTTCTAGTTCAGTTCTGTTCTAGTTCAGTCTAGTTAAGATCTAGTTCAGTTCAGTTCTAGTTCAGTTCTAGTTCAGTTCTAGTTCAGTTCTAGTTCAGTTCTAGTTCAGTTCTAGTTCAGTTCTAGTTCAGTTCTAGTTCAGTTCTAGTTCAGTTCTAGTTCAGTTCTAGTTCAGTTCTAGTTCAGTTCTAGTTCAGTTCTTGTTCAGTTCTAGTTCAGTTCTAGTTCAGTTCTGGTTCAGTTCTAGTTCAGTTTTAGTTCAGTTCTAGTTCAGTTCCAGTACAGTTCTAGTTCAGTTTTTGACAGGACCTTTCGAATCAATTACATTCTTTTCTTTATATAACATTATTATAAAGTTTTATGAGAATTCTGAGTAATTATGATGATCTGTTCTCACCACTGTTTTAATGCGAAAGAAGAAGATCGAAGTGAAAAAATGATCGCCAGTATAAGAAGTGAATGAATGACTGAGTGCATTCTTTGGTGATGGCGATCGTTGGGCGATATTTCATTGTCAACAGTTTGGCAGCAACTAAATTGAACCAAATTAATTTTAATGACCCTTTTTCGCCTCCTCACTTACGGAATCAAAGGATTTACTCCAAAACAAAGCACACAACAACTTATT